GGGTTCAGGGGGACCGGCGGCTCGGCACGCCTCGCTGCCTGCGCTGTGGGCGAGGAACAAAACATAATATTAAAAAAGAAAAAAAAAAGATCAGAGAAACGCACATACAAATTATTTGAGAGCTGGAGAAAATGTCCAGTCGGAGAATTGAAGACTCCACACAATCCAGTCTAGCAAAAGTGATATGGGGCAGGGACGGTGCAGGCAATGTAATTTTAGTGCGTGATAATATTTATAGGGAATGCATCTGTCCCTAAAGTCTGATTAGGAATACCAAGGTGCAAAGACAGGTGTAACAGAAAAATAAGAACTGAAAGGTTAAGACAGGTTTTACATAGAAAATGGGCAGTTTTGTGAGCAATGGGAAGGATCTGCCAAGGATAGTAGGGTTTTTTCCCAGCTTCTGCTATCTTTAAAATAAACTGAGTACCTTTCTGAAAGACTTACGGATGTTAGCCACAAAATACTGGATTCAAGAGCGACCGTTTACCATTTTCTCACTAGTGTTATGGATGAATAAGACGTTTAAAACAATGGAAACTCATCCATTTGAAATCCACCCTGCGACGTCTCGTGCTTCACAGAATCACGTAACCAGTGAACTTTTCAATGTGGTCAAGTCTTCAAGCACTGAGTTAACGTGCACTTGATACTTGTTTTGTAATGCAAGTTACGCTGTGATCATGGTGACTGAAGACCACAGGCACTGTGTCATGCATTTAGCAAACAACTTTACCAATAAAAAAGATGTTTCTGTAGGTCTGTTGCCTGTAACCAGGAAGTCAGGGCCGATCAACAGAAGAAAACTTCTCTTTTGTAAGGATGTGGTTAAGTTGGACTTCAGGAAGAAACATATCATTATGAGACTGTGCTCTTTAAGGTAGGACGGAAATATTCAGAGCTGGTAAGGATTTTCTTGTGAAGTAACGATGTAATGTAAAATGTGCATCATTTTATAAAGGTAATATTTCTATTTTTCAGATAAATAACATAATCTGAGTTATTATTATTATTAAAATGGCTCAAAATAAAGCATTGAAACCACATAGTTATTACAACAGAACTATTGCAGATGCCAGTTTTCAAGTGAAATATGTAACCGTTCAGGGTTTTTTACCAGAACAATGGATCGCACCAATGTTTTAATACATTCTGGTTTTGAAAATTCTGAAGAAGTTTAATTGCTCTTAAAAGTAGTGGATCTTCTTCAGGGAAAGTGAAAAACCAGTTATCTAATACAGTCCATAAGTTTACATGGTGCATTATCAACGCAAATCCACTGCGGGGCTAGTTTGAGACGCTTATTGCTTTCTTCATT